AGAATAAGTCTTCGCTCTTTGTGCGCGCACGTATTTGTCAATTTTTCTGCCCATGGCCTACAACTGTAAATTGTGTATATTTTCATGTTTTATATTTACGATGAATGTTTATAAGCCATTTATTCAGTGTAAATAAAATAACTTAAAACATTGTTTCACTGTTGTGCACTTTAATCAAATAAAATATCATTATCATAAATAATGTTGTTAAGATATAAAAGAGAAAAAGACAATAATATTAAAATAATAATCACATAAATATTATTTTATATCATATTACATATTAAATATACATATATATATATATATATAAATCGTAATACGTATAATAATTATACGTTAAAGAATCAATTGTTTAATACCATTGTATCAAACATTACAGATTACATGTTAATTGTTTTTTTAATGCGATCGGGCAATTTCTGAAAAAAATTCTAATATTTCTTCAGTCGTAAATTCAAGTCTCACCATACTGTCTGGATAACAACGTTTAACCGAATCTTCAATGTATATATACTGGGCGATAAATTCTCCTTGCATTTCACGCCAAACAACCTATGTAATTGAAATGTTCATTTAATCTAGAAAATATTTACAATAATATAATAGATTATAATATATACAGTAAAAACCCGCTTAACGTTGTTTCAGTATTAACGCGCTAGTATTGGGATTCCCTTAACTCGCACACTGTATTTATATACTTGTTGTATATGTGTGCAAATGAAACAGAACTTAACATAAGCATAGCCTTGTTTAACGCTGGAACTTGGATTGGAACGTATTCCTCGTGTTTTAAGCGGGGTCTTACTGTATTTCAATATGGTTGCTATTGAAAATAACCTGTAATAAATTTTCTTCCTCGCACAAATGTTTCTCAACTTTTCGGTAAAGATTTTCTAAACCTTTTTTAACTTCACGAGCAGGATATTCTTTTATAACTCGTCGAAGTTCTGATTTACTGAAAGCCATTTGATAACTAATCTCTGATTCCTTTACACCAGCTCCAACTTTTGCTTGTACACCCTCAAAAAATAGCTGAGAATTTAAACAATAATTGAATTATTATTATTATTATTATTATTATTATAGTATACAGTATTAAATATCAGACACTTTACTTTTGTTTTTCAATATGGCATACCCCATCGTATTAACTTACATTAAGTTTTTCTAAAGGTCTACCAAAATATTGTATGACATATGCACGAAGTGCTTCTTGATATCTTTGTTTAGCTTCCTTGCGTTCTTGATCCAATACTGAGATCTTTACTTGAGACAAAAGATCATACATATGATGAAAGTTTTCTGAAATAAAAAAAAAACAAAATGAAAGTAAACTTCGAAACAATTTGGAGATGAAATGTAAGGGAAAGATGAATTAATTTCTAACCCATTTTAATAACTTCAGGTGGTGTTTTATGATGTTCTTTACTATGAATAACAATAGCTTCAAATATCGTGCCAACCAATTTTGTATACCATTTTTCTAAATCAACTTTTCTATCAGAATGTTTGAATATTTTCTCTGCAGTTTTAGCAAATAATCCAAAATTGGCGACATACGGCAATATACCACATTTATGTCGTCGATTGACTTTGGTATCGGTTAAAATGGATTGTTGTTGTGCTTGCATAAATTTATCAAAACCTCTTTTAACTTGAATTAAGGCAGATGCAAAAGTCATTGATAAAAATGATCCAGTATCTTGTGCTGACATAACATGTTGCGACAAACGAACTAACACGTACATACACCAACTACAAAATTAATGTAATAATTAATATTAAATAAATACATACATAGAAAATTTAATTAATATACGATATAAATATATATACATACAAACTATCAACTTTGTCTAGGAAGGCAATAAAATTATTTAATTCTGTTTCCAATGATGGAAATATAGCTGACATTGTAGCACGTACTTCTTCATTTACTTGTTGTTCCAATTTTTTACTTGCTGTTGATGTTACAGAACCAGGACTAGCTGCACCATTATTTACAACTTCTGTTTCATCCATTTCATTTTTCTAATAAAATGTTTCAAATATTTACATTCAAATTACATTAAATTAATAATAATAATAATAATATATAAAATAACATATCTTACGTTTGAAGGTGTAAGAACTGAATCTAATTGAAAAAATGAAATACAAAAAGCTTGTTCCGCGAGATATACAGGTTGCATTTGAGATAATACACCATCTAATATTATATCTAAGAAACGGCCTTCACTTATAGGTGGCCAAACTTCTGCACTAAGAAGACACATGGGTGCTGGATTAATTAAATCTTCAGCTTTTTGTCCACTACCTTTGGGAGCATGAGCTAAAAAGTCAAATATCAATAACATGATTTATTTGATAAACAAAATATGAAAAGTATACAATTATATACCTTGCAATCGTTTACTGATGAGTTTATTCTTTGCTATTTCAAAAAAGTGTTTTAAATCTCTCTTGTACAATTTACTCATTGTATCCCTGTATACTTTAGCAAGTTGCATGAAAGCTTTATTATCTAAAGCTCTTAATAATTGCATTAATTCAGTATATGGTTCCAATTCGTTATGAATAGTTTCATGAGTTGGAAGAATTAATTCAGAAGAATTAATATTTTCTCCTGTATCATTACCCTAAATATAAAATATCATGTTGTTATTAATTTAACAAAAATGTAAATAATGTTTACATGCAACATTAAAAAAAAAAAAAAAAGAAAGAAAAGAACAATTTTACCAAATGTATAAAAAGATTATTCAAATGTCTAGCAACAATGATGGAAAATTTAGTTTTAAATTTTTCTAAACGTTTCTTTTGTTCAGTTACTGCTCTTAATTTATCAAAACCGAGAGGTAAAGGTGCTGTTATTGCATTCAAAAGTGATATTCCTGCAAGAATAAGTTCCTCTCGTCCACCAGGTAAATCAGCTTCATTTAAAATGCGTTGACAATTTGCAGGTATATCGAGTTGTGACTATAATAAATAAATAATAATAAATATTAATAGAAAATTGTCTTTACATAAAAAAGGTTTTCAAATGAACACACTTACAATCGTTGTACTTAATTGTTGCAATAAGTAACTAGCATTATCATTAGCTGTATGTATCGCTTGATTCTTTTGTCCAACACGTGCCATAACTTCTCTAATTCTTCCAAGAGCTTCATCGTAAGCTGCAAGACGTGCTTCAACCATAGAAGCTTCTTCTACAGCAGCCTCTATACTTTTCATTAATTGTGCCACTTGAGGCTCAGAACCTAAGACTAATCGTACATTTTCCTAGAAACATATTTTATGCTTTACATAATGATAAAGGATAATAAATAATTGTGAATTGTTATTAATAATATAACGTTATGAATTTTTAAATTCATTATATTACCCCATCAAGTATGGATAAATCCTTAGAAAGTGTTTCCATAAAAAGTTCAGCATTTGAAACAGCATAGTCGCAACCTTCTATTAATTGTTTTAAATCGGCAGCTTCTTTTTCTGTAATAGGTTGATAATCGGATGTAGTGGGTGGTATTAAAAGTTCTGGAACATAATCCATCATATGTCTAATACAACGTATATTTTCTGTCAGTGAATCGTCATTAGAATTTAGACAGCTGACATGTATACAAGCATGCAATGCATGCGGGCAGTGGTGGGGGAAAGTTACTTCGTAAGTTGCGCACAGTGTTCTGCGCAGGGGCGGTAAAATATGAAACTGGAAACAACAACAACAACAGTAGGAAACAACGTATAAATAAAGTACTAATTAATTATAATATATATTTTAATAATAAAATAGAAATGTACATTTTATTTATATAGATTTTCATACGTTTATATTATAATAATCTTTCCTAACCATGATTCAATATATTACGTATTGCATCTCTCGCTTTTTGTACTCCTAATCGAAATTGTCCAAACTCTGGTCGCATTTTCATTCCACGGTAATAGTATACCAGACTCATCTCGAAATCACCAAGATAATATAAAGCTTCCGCTTTATAATATACAGCACGAGCGTTCACTGAATCCTTTAATTTACATTGCAATGCAGTTTCAGCATCCTGCAATGCGTTTTGTGGATTACCCAATAGAAGATAACATTTGCTTCGTGCTATCAACGCATTAGCATCATTAGGACTCAACTCCAATGCCTTGAACAAATGAAAAAATTCAAATAGAACATCAAACCATCATGTGTTTAAAAATGTAATAATTATTCAGGTGTATAATTCTTCAGGGACACGGGTATTTCAGTATTTTATTAACTAAACAGTTAGAAAAACTAATGCAACATTGAAAATAATCCAAGATACAATTATTCTTGCACCTATTGAATAATATTTGATTATCTCGTAAACCTTATTTATAAAATTAAATGCGGCATTGACGTTGCCAAGTCGCATTTCACGTTTTCCTAATTCTAGAACAGAACCTGGCTCGGCAGTATCCGAAAGTAATGGACTTTTATCGCGGTCTTGTCGTTTTTTTTGCTTTAAGGATTGTTTAATATCCTTGCTACCCATATTAACAGCAGCAGCACGATCTTTATCTGTATAAATTTCTTCTTGACGTGGAGCATTATTGCTTCTTTGTTTCAATCTTGATTTCTGCATTTGTACTTGAGCTTCTATAAAAGATGTATCAATTTTATCCTTGATTCGTTTATTCGTCCTTTTCGTTTTATTCGTATCGCCATTATCCGTTTCTCGATTATCAAGATCATTGTTTTCTTCATTTTTTCCAAGACAATGTCTAGCACGTGCTTTTCTATTTATGTTTTTAGATTCTTCATTAGATTGTTTCACATCTGTATTATCAATGTTTCCTCCTACACTAACAAAACTTTGCAAAAGACTGTGTTCGTGTATCGTAGGATTTAATATTCCGTTTACTTGTAATTCCACAGCATCAAAGATCGATGTTTTGTACTCGTTACTTGTATCACCCATTTTTATATCTTATAATAATATTAATTTATTCAAGTCTCAGAGAAAGGAGAGGGTTTGAGAACAAAGCTAACAAACTACCCTCAGTGAACAAAATAATTGCTACCAGAATTAACAAAATAGTTTCTTTAGACTGTTTAGTTAAAGATATAACAGGACGAAGTCTTAAGAAAAAGATGAAAAGATAATATTAAATATTAAATTTTGTATACACTTTTGTTTTTCTTTTTTTTTTAATATGAATATTTGATATGTAATTTTATAGAAATACAATCAACAAATTTATCCAATTTTTGTACCAGTGAGAAGACTGTAATACACCTGTGGGTGAAACCATTGCTACGTGCGATTATCGACACCTTTACAGGTGGCTTGTTGCCTTAGAAACAGTCAACAACGCGTCATAATCCACACGTCTCTATATCAAAATATATATCTAGATAGATAGAAGAAATTTTCTTAAAATAACTTCTGCATTAAACGTCTATTTCAAAATCAGTAGCTGTTGAACGTTCTATAGGTAAATATGTCCTGTATAATAACACGATTTATAAACCTTTTGAAGCTTTTCCAATTATTTTTGTATACATTGTTCCTTGATTTCCCGAAATGTTCAAATAAATCAATTTCTTTTATCTGAATATCTTCCATATATTCAACATATACATGTTTATCGATTGATATTCAGATATTTTGTATCAATGATGTTCTTCTTTTTATTATTATTTTATGTTTATTAGTACTGTGTTTTATATTCGTTTCTTTTTATAATTCATTTTGTTATTTTCAATTATTATCGACGTGCTATTTTTGAAAATCTTTACTTCTTACGAAATTAGATTATTATTTAATAATATTATTTAAACAATAGTATTTACCTGATTATATAGGATCATAGCTTCATTGTAATTTTCACATTTAACATGAACCGCTGCTTCATCAACTCTAAGCTTAGCTTCTATAACATTTGTTGCGCGTTTCAACTTTGTATGCATCCTTCAAATAAGTTCTTTATAACCATGTGCTACACACTTGTTGATGGAACAGAAAATAATATGGTTTTTGTAATATCATTTTGAAATTCAACATTAACGAAATTTTACTTATACTTACTTTTTTATCATCTATGTGATTTATAATTAAATTATCAAATTAATTAATGATGTTTTTTCAAATATTTCATATTTTCTATTATTTAAAAATAATATCTCTTTCTGAAAACAAATAATAATAATAATAAATGAATAATTAATTTTATCTCACGTATTTACAAATAAAATTTATTTTCGATAAATTAACTCGTACAATGGCTCTGATCAATTACGAAATATACGAAATAACTTACAAATATACAAATGTGTCCAGTCTACGTTAATTCGATGTGTATCATCAAGAAATTCCTTGTACATATTTATTACAATATTATTGTTTATAAATGAATAAACAAAATATCACTTAAATAATGAAAGATCAATTATCTTCATTTATGACAGTATCATCCTTTAGGTCTCATCAATGCTTTGGTTACTACCGTAAGTTTTCTGTCTATACTTTACGTAACTTCCCTACCTCTGGAATTAAAAAAATAATCAATAAAGAAATGTTAGAAGGGACAAGCGAATTGGGACATTGAAACTTACTCAATCGTATAAACAATAATATAAAAGGGGTGGTCGATTCATTTCGGTATCGTTCAACAATCTTCCCTAAAATTCTATGTATGCGTGTATGTATGTATGTATGCATGAATATGTTACGACCAATGTATGTATATTGATCCATTTTATAAATTGAAGTAATACTAGAAGTATATAATAGAAATGTAATTGCGTCTCTATTATGTATTGAAAGGTTAAAAAGTTCAAAGACCAACATGTAAAGGTTTACAATAGAATGACCTGTTATTTTGAACACTCATCAAATATGAGGAATATCGTCTCGAGTTACTGTTTCATCAAAAGTAAACAGTATTCGAGTATAAAGAGTTAATTTGATTTGATTCTTTCATATATGTTTATTAAATAAACATTTTTAAAATGTTTTTTATACTTACTGATTTCTGTAATTGTTTATTAAGGCTAATAATTATTGCATGACTGTTTATTATGGAGTCATTAGAACGCCATTTTGGAATATTGTCGAAACGCCATTAATACGGTGTCAGAACGCCATTGTTACGCTTGTTGGGATGCCATTGATACGTCAGTGGTGCGCCAATAATATACTAGTAGAGAACTATTAATATTCTATTGGTACGTCATCGTTGCACTTTATTACAACATATTTCAATAACCTATAAAAAGAAAAAAATAAACAAACGTAATATTATAAACATAATTGCAATGTATATAAAGCGATAACTGTAAATGATCAAAGTTACAACTTTTTAAAGGGTAAAGACAACAATTTTGTAATTAATAAGAAACGAATATTATATATAATATTATTTTTGTAATTACTTATTCACATATAGCATTGATAAATTGCATAATGAATAATGCATTTAATTGGTCGTAAAGACAGCTAAAATATAAATGCACCAATCAATGACGTTGATATTACCGATTGGTCGTATTCAAGTGATCGCGCGAAATTTTAAATTTTTATTAATAAAATCTTGTCTTAAAATGTAATTGTAATAAATATTATAAGATATTTATATTTGAACAAATAAAAGTAAAACAAAATAAGAATAATTTTAATTATTTTAAATTTTCTTCAAAATGAATAAAAGCAACAATATAGTGATATTATTACGATTAGTCTTACGATGGCGTTTGATAGTGTTATCAGTGAAAATGAGATGTTACGTGTCATCAATTAATATTTCTTTAACATAAAAAGAAGGTAATTATAATAACATCAAATAATAATTTATAAATGATTTAATTAACAAGCATTTTCTTTTCTTACACGTTTTGAATTTTATTTGCAGGATGTGACAATTATAACTATTTATCATCTAACCTATAAATTTTCCACCATACCGGTGTGACAGCTACAATCTGTCAGCTGTTGTAATGAGAATTGTCGATGAGTTTTATAAAAAAATTGGCCTAATCATTACAATTGATAAGGAACATTCAAGATAAGAACGTTTAAGTAAAAAAACGATATGATTTGACTGCAATTATTTAAAAATAATAGTTTCCATCTGTCGATGAAAGGTTAGTTTGTCATATATTTATATCATTGTCTATTGTTTTAAAAATAAAGTAGTATATTTAAAAGACTTTATAATTATAAATGGAATAACAAATTAAATAAACATTCTGTACAATAATAATAATAATAATAATATTAATAATAAATATAAAATTGTAAATTATATAAAAAAATAATACGTCAATTCACAAGTACTATATCAATTACTTCTTTTTTTTTTTTTTTTAGAAATTTAGACAATTTTATTTACAATGGAGATTGGTGTTGTTAAAATCGCAGAAGACAAAGATTTTGAAAAGTTAAAACAATTGTACGATAATAACAATGATTGGAAATTAGATTACAATAAACCTGATTTGTCAGTTTGGACAAAGACTGTTCCCGGTATTAGTTTTAAAATGGTAAAGGTAAGCCTTTTTCAATTTTATCAATTCATTCTATAATATAAAAGTATTATTGAACATTATATTTATAAATTATTCTATTATAGATTAGAACAAGATTTTCTGATATTATGCCGGAAACCCTGTATGATGTTTTACATGATCCTGACTATAGGAAAGTTTGGGATACTCATATGATTGAATCAAAAGATATAGGATTTTTCAATCCAAATAATGACATAGGATATTATTCGAGTAAGTATGATTTTATTTATGATTGTATAATCTATGATTTATATTAACAGTTATATTAAATGTTTCAAATGAACAATTTTTAGTGTCCTGTGCTTCACCATTGAAAAATAGAGATTTTATATTACAACGTTCGTGGCTTGATACTGGAGGAGAACAGCTGATCATAAATCATTCTGTTTATCACAAGGACTATCCGCCTAGAAAACATTTTATTAGAGCGACATCTTATTTAACAGGTACAATGAAGAAATAGTTTTAATAAAATGTTGATTTTGTATTATAATTAAATTCAATATTTAAGGTTATATTGTAAGGCCTTCCCGAAATGGAGATGGTTCTGAACTGGGTTACGTATCACATACTGATCCGCATGGTAAAATACCAGTATGGTTAATGAATAAAGTTACCCAAATATTTGCACCAAAGGTCTATATCTACTATCGTAGTATATTCTTTAATTTAATAAAATCATGAAATACTCTAAAGAATTTCTTTTCATTTAAACAGATGGTAAAAAAATTACATAAAGCTGCTTTGGGATATTTAGATTGGAAAGAACAAAATAATCCAAATTATAAACCATGGCATTTTCCAGAGCAAATAACAGCACCACGAATACAAATAGCCGATGTAAGTTGATAAATGGTGACGTAATAAGATATAATTATTTTAATTAGAAACATTGACAAATGTATGATTGAAATTAGAATTCTAACTAATATTAGATTTATTATATTATAGTGCGTTAAATCTACAGAAGAAAAAAATACCAAAGCTAACTATGTCGATGAGTCTGAATTAAAAGAGATACCTCGTAAACATTCTACAATAATGGACAATGATTAATATTTCTGTAGTATTGATGTAGATCTTTCCATAGGTAAGAGTAGATATATATATATATATATAGCGTAGTTTTGTTAGGTACACATTTGCAAAGTGCAAATCACGTTGTGTACATTTTTTGAGAGGACAAAAACGTTTATGATGTAACTAATGAAATTTTACACTACGCATTGCGCCTTGTTGGCTATACTATTTTTAAACGATGATGTTATAAAGGACAAATTTTATCATGGCCTGCTTTACATTAAGCGCTAATTTAAGCTTTTTTATAAATGAATCCTACGTATTGTTATTAATATTAAATATAGTTCTATCAATTTCCATAAAGGATCTAAAGGAAATGCACAATATAGATAATATCTAGTTAAACACTTTGATCTCTTTACTACGTACGTACATTTTCTGAATATTTCAGAATTCAAGGTTTTGCATTTACATTGCATTTATATTGAAAACTATAATATTATATATATATATATATATGTATGTATTTTAACAAGAGAAACCATTAATCTCGTATATTGTGTGTTTCTATMTCTCTCTCTCATTATTTATTATTAATATTCTCTTAACAATTGAATAAATAAAGATAGTTTCTGCTAGCTATATATATATATATATAATAATAATAAAATGTTATATTTTAGAGTAATATACTGTGATCATAGTGCAAAGTTTTATTATGTTTCTAATTGAAACAAACAAGAAAATCAAAATGTAGTTACGTTTTATCCAAAATTTTCTTCCTTATGGCAAACATTACGCCAAAATAGTGTTCATATTTATTCTATTTATTTGTTGTTTTTAAATATCAACAAAATATTATCATTACCCAAAAAAAAAAAAAAAACAAAAAAAATAAAGCTTAACAAATACACATTTATTTGAAATGATTTTATTTCAATAAGCTTAAACAATCTTATAATGTGTGTGTGTGTGTGTGTGTGTGTGTGTGTGAGAGAGAGTAAAAGCAAAAAAATATATATTTATAAATGTAATACTTTATTAAAAATATGAAATATATAGAGTCTGATAATAATGTGCTTGACATTTGCAAAAGATTATATTACGATAAAGATTTCAATTTAAAGAAGACTTATTCACAGATTGTATTATTATCTATTATCTATATATGATAACAATTTTTTATAATATTTAAAAGTTATTATATATATATATATACACAAGTTTAAATACTGTATCTGTAAAACTAAAGAGTATGTGACGTTTTTAAAGAGATTATATTATAAACATCATTTATTTGAACAATTTCCATACTTTATATATATATATATATATTAAAATGGCTTCTAAAAAATCAAACTTAAGCGACCTAAATATATACATATATGTTTATATAGGACACAAGTATATACATATATGTCTATGTTCAACTATTACATATAATATTATACTGAATGTTATTTATTTATTTATTTTTTTTCTTGTAAAATAGATGTTTCTTATTCAAGTTATATTAAAAACATACATATATGTAATTTAAGTTAGTGTAGAGTATCGTATAGTCGTTACAACAAATGTTACAAAAATAGAAGTTTTTCCACAAAAAAAAAAAAAAAAGAAAAAAAAATTCATTATTTATATTTATAATATAATTACCCCGTTAATCCTGAGATCTGGAAAAAAATAAAAACAATAATAATGTAGTCTCATAAGTATTAAATAAAAATACAAGCAAATATGGAATTATTTCAAATTTCCATTGACAACGGAACGGGTACGAATAATACGATCCTGTGATATTTGTTTGATTAATTCAAATGTTAATTTAAAAAAACAAAAAAAATACAATTTAAAGATGACAAAGGTCAATTGTAAAAGATATTATTTTGTTTATTTTCATATTGATTTTATTGAAGATTCTTAATGAATATCTCATATTTACATATTTGTTTTTATATCGTGGATATAACTAATTAACATATGCATACCTATTTACATCCATACATACACAAATGTTCCCATTATTATAAATTATAAATCTTCAAAAAACATTCATCATTTCGCAATGGCATAGAAAAATAAATGTTAACAGTATTATTGTATAATTTTCATTCTCAAAAACGTATAGCAAAACCTTTATAACTACGTCTCGTAACATACTCCCACATTGTAAATTCGCAATGGTCAATTTCACTTCCTGGACTTCCTTGTGTTGATAGCCACTGTGCCCTGAGAATAACGTTAATAAAAAACAATAATTAAAATAATAATAATAAGAAGAAGAAGAAAAAACAATGTATTACCAAATGTGTACAGTCAAGATTATAGTAGCAATTGTAGTTTCTTTTTTTTATTTTTTGTAATTGAAAATTTCAATAAATGAGATTTATTAGCGGAAGGGAAATGATTGTAAATCATCACAATTGAGTTAGGACAAAAGTCTATATTATCATCAGTTAAATAGAACGTTGTAAAGAGATTTGTGCCGTGCCGCCAATTGGCCGTTGAAATGAACTCTCGTCATAGTAGCACGTGTACAACTCGTCTCTATACATAAGGTTGTATCATAGCACCTTCAAGGGCCTCCAAAATTATTCTTAGCATTATAAATTAAGACACTCAACTACGTTTCTACTAGTAATCAAATTTTATAAACGAATAATGTTAATATAGTAGTATTTGAAATTGAAAATGTCAAAAGAACCTGTAAATCTCTTTAATGGAGAGAGAGAGAGAGAGAGAGTTCGGTGAATGAAAATATTATGTGTACACAGATGTAATTGACAATGGTCATCGCTTATTTTGACGGTTACGAAGAAGAAGGTTACGTACTATAGCGAGCTATTACTTCATTAAATTATTATTAAAGTCAGTCTTTGACCTAATGCTCGTTATTCACTAATTCACAACTAAGGTCACAGGTTGTTAGATTCGCTTTCTGTCTTCTCATAACATTAAGATCTATAGTACGTCAAATGAAAAGTGTACAATTATCATTGTTATATCGTTTCAATTTTAGTTTAATCTTCCTTACAAGAAACTTAGTCAAACGTATCAGTTTCTTTTTTTTTTTTTTTTAATATTATTATAACATTAATTATGTTAATTAAGTAGCCATTAATCGATTAGAAAATGAAATGATAGAAGAATAGAAAGAGAAAAGATGTTGTAAGTTTATTTCAAGGGCAATGGTGACCCTGAAGAACTACACCTTCGACAAATTAAGATGACACTGTGTGCGTTATTTGTTGCTCTGACACACATAGTTCAAGACGAATGAAAGAAAATCGAGTTGGTTCTATGATATGGGGTAACAAGTTCTAAACAGCTATTATAGCACGCGTGCCTTTGCCAGCAAGATCTGATCCAGATAATTAATTGATGCCACGCGGACGATGACGTCCTCCACTTCCGATTCAAAGAAATTTCAATCGAACAAATATCTCGCAGACTTAATATTTAACTAATTACTTATATCAAACTTCAAAATCATTTTCAATCTTATTTGTTTTTTTTTTTATGAAGTATAACATGTTATACTTTATACGAATTACCTTAAAAAAAAAAAAACAATTGTATGATCTAAAAATAACTCACATCTGATCGACGAATGCACGAGGTCCTTCCATTTTTCCAAGAATCGTTCCTGTTTTACTGTTTTTAACCCAACCACAAATCCCAAGTTGCAGACATAGATCCCTCACGTATTTAGGAAAATATACACCTGCAATTCAACGTACACCGACTAAATGTATAGTACAAATTTATTTGTAAATCTATAAACACGAGATAATCCCATTGAAATTGGGATCGAATGTGGTTTTGAGTTGAGACGAGAGTCATTTTGAAAAATATAATTATTGTGAAATAAGATTAGATAAAATTGTTAATTTAATTGAAAATTGATGAATATGATACATGTTGGTTAAATAAGTTGTTAAATCATTTTAAAATGAAATTTCAAAATGTCTCAAGTCTCAGTTAAAAACGGGGGAGGGTTCAAAGGGGAGTCCAGCAATCATACAACCCTTGAACAAAATGATGAAGAAGAAGAAAAATGATTAATAATGAAGAATAATTATCAATGATTACCTTGAACTTTACCAAAAACTTCAAATTCAACGGATACCAATGGTTCGTTGCGAAGTGGATCGTCCGACGGCATTTTGTTTTGTAATCGTCTTAATATAAAATAAATGAGAACGTTGGTGTCAGGTGAATCCTAATATTCGCGAGAATTTCGTGAAAAATCTATCGTTTCGTTTCGTTTTATTTCGTTTCGATGAAACTTTCGCTTTTAATTGTGTTTTATTATATTAAAAGTATTTTCACACGACACTCCTTCACCTTTTGCAACCACGAGGCGACTCTCCTTAAACTTTAACCGATTCTCGTTGCAAGTCCGACGCCTCTGAGAAAGCCTCAAATAGATTTTCCCCACTCTTAACGGATTGCATCGAGAATCGATCGATAAATAGTCGTCTCATCCTATCGGTGTATCAAAGGTACACATCTGAAATACACCAATACGATTTTCTAACAATTATCACCCACCAACTCCTAAACATTAATCTTAAGCTAACATACGTCAGGGTTTGCTATTGTGTTATACAATAACCTAGGAAATAACAATAGAAGTTAAATAATTTAACAACAACAACAAAAATAAAATAATAATAATATTTCATACTCCTACCTCGTATTTCATTCCCATCATTAAATAAAATACCACGAGTCATACAGGAATATAATCAAAATACAATGATTATGATGATGATGATGATTATTATTATTATTATAATACATTTTGATAGATAATTCATATTTGTGGTATCTGGTTTTATTGTTAAAGTATTATACAGATAGGAGTATTGTACTTCAAAAAAAAAAAAAAAAAAGAAAAAAAGAAAAATCATTTTAACATTCTCTAATTAATCCTCTTATAATAAGCTCTTTGCTGGAGATATGTTTGTTACTTTAATGAGTCATTGATAGTCTTATTAATAAAAAAAAAAAATCTACATCTTTATCATATTATCAACTCGATATGTTGATAATAAAAGAATGAACGATATGAAGATATGAATCATTTTTCATGAAATATTATGTAATTATAAATTATAAAGAAAGAAAGAAAAGGGCAATACATTTATTAGTAGACATTAAATGAGGGGTTCTTATGAAAAGAGAGGAAAAATCAAAGTGCGTTGTATACACATACATATATTGCATAAATAATGTAGGCCATGAGGGCAGTCGTTCATTGTGAAACTAAGCACTTCCCATTGATTTGCCCGCCATCCCATTGTTCCCTCATTATACTCTAGTTAATTAATTATTATTAAGCCATGACGTAGTAATTGCCCTGCGAGTAGAAATCGTATGTGTGTACAGGATACGAGGGAGAAGGTTAGGATCTATTTATAATGATCGTATGCAATCTATTACCACTGCCATTGAAGGTCTTTCATTTGGTGGTGGTATGAACATTAATTGTAACTAAAGTCTTGTCTTGTCTTGTCTTCTTGTTTTTTGTTTTTTTCTTCTTCTTTCCCAACCCCCCCGATGATACAAAGTTTCCATTCATAGGAAAAACCTAGTCGTTTGATTCCCTTCAATGAATCATTCCATGATGTTACAATAATTGTCAACACAATGTAAAAGATAATACTTACCATTAGATTCTATTTGATGAGATTAAAAGATTGACAAGATATTATTATATTGATATCAATTATCTATTGATTTAAAATATAAGAGTCAATTTTGGTTGTTGTTGTTGTTATTGTTTGTATGATTATTTATTTTCTGATTTATTATTCTACGTTAATCGATATTTCAAAAGGAAATAAACGATAATTACGCATTATGATTTAACGTGCAAGAAAAAGTATGCATATAAAGGAGACGCTTTGTTTGTTTTTTCTTGTTTTGTTTTGTTTTTTTTTTTTTTTTTTAATTTCACTTAGAACGATGACGAGTATTTTATGCCATTGGCTAATTGTGCCCACGATTTTACAAAATGTATCATGTCACTCTTGCTTCTTCTTCTTCATCTTCATCTTCATCTTCTTCTTCTTGACTTGAAGTTAACGACTCGTTAACACTCTCTATTTCTTGGTAAATTAAATAGAAATAATTAATTGAAAGAGTTTGGATTTATTTCTTTCTTTCTTTCCTTTCCTTTCCTTTCATCCTTTTGGTCGTGTACATTTTTCTATTAAGCGTAAATCCGATCATATTATCGATCCAGCTTTTTTTCCATGGGCTTTATTTTCTCTTTTCTTTTTCTTTTTTCGTTACCACTCCTAGGAACGCATTCGATGGATTTGGCAGTAATCTTATACGAGAGATTCGGGATGATTTCCAGAAATGATCGTAGTAGATGTGGTATTTTGAAGAAGTGATCCATTCTCAGCATCTTTGCCGGTTCCATCGGTACAAGAAGCAAAATTATTGGTTGCGCTTAATAGATTACGTTTTCTGGCTTCCTTTTTTTCACGTTCGATCTACAAAATAATCATCCACGTTTGTTTGAAGACAAAATGTTCATTATTTATAGAAAAAAAAATTATTATTATTATTATTATTATTGTTTGTGTAAATAATTATATACTAACCTTGACAAATAGTCGAAGATAATGACAAGGAAAGTTAACACATTTGCCTTCGTCTTCTTCAGCATCGATGTAAACTCCACGAACGAGAATGGAATTACTGCAATTGAGTAATAGAAGAAAGACGAAACAACCTATCGATGTTATCCAATAGGAGACTACTAAATTATTTGGCAGGAGCCATAGATCTAATAAGTTCCAAATACCGCGCCAAACATTGACAGTTCCTAGGAAACTAAGAAGGAGGAATAAGTCGGCCATTATAAGACGTGCGAGACCATCCAAACGTGCGCAAACGTAACGCATCAGGGGTTGTAAACTAAACGTTACGACTACTATTACATAGCCGATTGCCTATTATAAAACAAACAACATTATTTTGTTTATATATATATATATAATATCTAAATATATACATATATATTAGGTCATTATCAAAAATTTCTTCCATTTTTATGATGATTATGGTTGAACAATATTGTATGCATGCGTAATATTTCTTTTTTTTTTATATTGTTTTATTAATTGTTAATAATATAAATGATTATAACATTTTCTATACTGTATTATTATTCTAATCATTTATATTATATTATTTTTGTATACTATATAATATAATATATTGTATACTATATACTAATATACTATATACTGTATTACTGTATACACAGTATACATAGTAGTATACACTGTTATACTGTACTACTATACTGTAATACTATAAATTGTATTATATTATATAGTTTTTTAATTTATATTA